ATATTTAGATAGTCTTATTAATTTTTAAATAATAAAATTAAATCTATGTTTTACTTAATAGAATTATAAAAGAAATCTCTCAGGGGGCAATCAAAAAAATTTATTTTAAGTTCAAGGGGTTAAGTATCCATTAAAAAAAATTTTTTGCTTCAGGAGACTATTTAAATTTTCCAGGGGGCTCGAGCCCATGCGCACCCCCCCCCCTTAGCGACATCACTGGGTTTTCCTAATTACTTACATTATGAAATATGTAGGTCACATAGTAATGTTTAAACTTCTAATTTGAGCAATGTTGGTTGGGATTAAGATTTTTTTCTAGCTTTGAAAGTTTTTATTTTTTTTGAAACAAAACATTTTACCATCTGTTATTAATATTCTTAATAGAGCAAAATGTGAGATTATGTTCAACTATTTAAAAATATTTTTTTTACTTTAATAATTCATCAAAATCATGAATAAAGTATAAAATTACTATAAAATGGTTGTATATAACAATAAAGATTATGAAATGAAATGTTATCTTTGCTTGCCTATTTGATACATGTTGCCTGATGATGCCTTCTTTGAATTTAATAATATTTTAAACAGTTCTTTAAAAAATATTAAATCCTTTCTTCTATTTGATTATGATGATTATATATTTTATAAAGCTAATTTTTTAAAATAACAATGTTTCATTATATTAATTATTAAATTATTCAAATATTTATATTAAAAAAACAGAATTCCAAATGCGATATAGATATAAAGCCAAAATAACTCTACAGTTCAGCAATGATTTATAACAATACATAATTAAAACTATACTATATAACTTTCAAGATTGTTGTTAATCGAGATTCACTTTTATATATTTTGTATTTATTTTTAGTATCATTTTTAGTTTTAGAATAAAATTATTATAAATAAAAATTACCAACGTTATTTCTATCACCACCGTTATCGCTATATAACAAATGTTCTTTTAATTCGGATTGCAAAATATTTTACAAAGAAAACATACCTGCCCAACTCATTATACTTATATTTTGTAAAAGAAGCGCACTTTCAAATAATTAATCTTTAAAAAATAATTTATTAAAACAATGATTTAATATTGTTAACATAAAATCCATTAGAATATACAATAAAAATAAATAAAACAAGTGTCAGTTTGCTCCTTTGATAATTAGCCTTTTAAAAAAATTTAGCTCACAAAATCAAATCGCAAACATTTAAAACAAGGAAATTCCTATTTCTCAAACAGAACATACAAATCAATATTTTCAGATGTAACTATCCTTTTTAGAAACTCAAATAAGTCTTTCTTAAAATTAAATTATATTTTTTAACATTTATATATATATATATATATTTAATTGTTTTAAAAATGAAAAAATAAATTGTATATAAATGAAATGAACAAACTTATGATTCATTAGCATTTATCCTCTCAACACATGAGATTCTTAAATAAAATCTATAATATCATTTAGTCGACATCCAAATTATGGAAAAGAACTCTAGCTGGCTCCTAGATTCAATGTACAGAATCACCAATCTAGTAGTATATAATATTTTTATCGCCGATTTGCCTCGACGGTTGCATTTCGCGTAGAATAAAAAAATTTATCAAAATGGTTTAAAAAAAAAATTTTTTCAATAATAAATTGCCGAATATTTTGAAGTTACTAATTAAATCATTATAAATTTTCAACTACTAGATGGCCAGGGGGGGGGGCATTAGTTGGTCCTCCTTTACATATTATAATAAAAGTTATAAAAATCTAAAATACTTAGAAAGATCATCCATGCATTTTAAAAATGTGAGGATATAATATTTATTCCAGAATTCTAGGGTATCTTACCTTGTGAATTTCAGACAATATGGTGCTTGTTTAGAGCTCAATCAGTTAATTTTTTCAGGAACTTGCAAGAGTTAAGTTTTTATGTTTTCATTGATGATGTGAATTAGCCTTATTCCTTGAACACTATTTAATATAAAAAAATTATTTAGAGAACCATTGAGTCTATTTTGATTAGAACTTAATTCTATGAATATTTCTTTCCCCAATTTAATGCGTTTCTTCGTATATCTAAGGCATTATATTGGATAACACGCGATGATAGATATTCCGAAAAAAAGGAGATCGAGGGGATTAGCAGGATCAAGTGAATCGCCATAAGATATATAAAAAGGAGTCATATTTTGGCGTCTTAAAGCCAATTCAGATGCTACCCCACCACATATAGGGCTTCACAACTTAGGAATGAACACTCTATAGTAATCTCTGAGTAAACAAGGGTCTTATTTGCTAAGTTTCAATGGTCTACCTTCTACTTGAGGAAAACAAAAACTGAAGGGTCTGATTTTTAAATCCGAAAATCAATTTATCAGAAACGTGCTGAGGTCGAAATTTAGTATCCGGAATTAAATTTTTGTTATTTTAGAGCCCGGATTTTTTGATCATCTTATAGTAATGTTAATGATGAGCGTATGTTAGCGGCAATATGTTTCTCCAGGCAATGTGTTATTTTTTCAACTTTGAATCATTTTTTTGAGGGTTGTTTTTTGTAAATTTTAAATAAAATCTGATCTTACCGGAAATGTATTTCAAGCATGTTTAGGATACCTAACTTATGAATCGTAGACAAATTTTTGATTCAATTATAAATTTATGAAAAATCTATGGAAAAACTAATGTGAATTATATTAAGTACAAAATTTGATGACAAAATAGTCTGAAATTCATGGCAGGTATTCTAAAGGTGATGTCATAAATTTCCGGTAGAATCAGATTTACAAATTTAAAAAAAAGCTCTCCCAAAAACAAAAAAAATAATATATAGTTAAAAAAAATAACCCAATGTAGAAAATACATATTGCCCGCTAACATATATACTACTAGATTCGTGATTCATCAATGTGTTTATACATCGGAGTCAGCTGTAGCGCCATTTTGTGGCATATGAATGCACATTAATATCAAATAATCGAAAGCCACAAAATGGTGCTACAGATGACTGTTTCTGCATGGACATTTAATCAATGAATAGCCATACATCAACGGGTCAGGTGCAATGCGAAAATTTTGAATATTAATCAGTTAATTTATATAAGGGGTGGGGGAGAGTTAACAAAAAAAATATATCAGAGACCTGCAGACCCGGCCCAAAGCGCGGATACCCGGACCGGACCTAAAAAAATTTTAAAAAAAAGTTCGGGCTGACCCGAAACGTGCAAATGGTGCCTTTGTTGACCCTAGTATTGTTAAACATCACGACATTATTTTAAGCTAAAATAATAACTTTAAGCGAATCTCGAGATTTCGTTAATAGATGTCCAAAATCTTTCTGGCATATAGGAGAAATCTCCAGGCTCGCATGATAATTTTTGGCGAAAATCTCCAATTATTAGCGGAGATATTGATCGACCGATATTTTATAATTTTATTCGAAATCCAAAAAAAATAATAAAATAATTATTCTCATTTTTATATAGATTTTCAATTATTTAAATTTAATTTTTTTGCTTCTTCTTCTCCCTTCCAAACCAACAACTAACAATGTAATGTGTATTTTTTTTTGGTATCGGGTTACAGTAACTGATTACGGTGGTAATGGGCAACAATATCGAAATCGGTCAAAATCTCTAAACATTACCAGCGAGCGCGCCTAGTAATAATGCAAAATAGGGCATTTTTCTAAATGGTCTTCTATTATTTTTATTATGTATATAGAACATTATAATACTCAGTGGAGATTTTTAACTAAGCCCTGCCAACCTTTAACCCTAATCGATGCTCAAACCATGATGGCTGGAGCGTAACCTAAGCAAAAATTTTTCCAAATATTTTTATAAGATTATACTTTATGCCAAAAAAAAGAGAATTCTTTTATTTTCTTTTCCTCGTTTATATATATTTTTTTAAAGCCTTTCATCGAAAAAGCCCAATAACCTTTTTTGTACCAGACCTAAAAATAGTTGTGACGGAAGGCTAATTTCTACCTACTTATAGGCCAAAAAAAGAATTTAAATATTTATCTAATATTACATATAATACTCCATATTAAATATAAATTGTAAATTCATTCTAACGATAATATATGATATCAAAAATTTACACATAATACATAATACAATAATATACACCATATATATATATTTTTAAAAAATATATCTATATTATAAGTAACAAAATCGAAATGAAATTGTTATAATGCTTTCTTCTAAATTCATAATACATATGCAATTTTTAAAAAAAAATGTACAGAAGGATATCAACTATTAACATAATCAAAATAATTTTAAAAAAAAATTTATGTTTTATAATATTATAATAGATTAAGAATTAAAATGTACAAGAGAAATCAAATTATTAACATAATCAAAATATTTAAAATAATTTTTGTTTTATAAGATAGATATTAATGATTTATACAAATGTAAAATGAATGCAAGAAATATAATCATTTATTTTTTTTTTTTTTAAAAATTATTTATAAATATTAATAATACATTTTTTTAGGTTACCTCAAAAACCTGTTTTTTTTAAAAAATTTCAAATTTTTTCTTTAACAAATAAAAAGGCTTTTATTTCGCGTTTTTTTTTCGATAAAGTTATAATGAAAGTTTTCAAAATTATTAAATTTTTCGATATTTTGGTAGAAAAAAAATAAGGTTTGATAAAAAAATAAGGATGAGAATATTATTACTAATATGCCTGCTAATAAATATAGTTATATTATATAATACAACATTCATTTCTATGGTTTTGTAACCTGGAATAAAACAAATGCTTTTGATTTGTAGAAGAAGAAAGAAAAAAAACACTTCGTAAAAAATAAATACGGCAAAAATTATACAAAACTAACAAGGAAAGATAAAACTATATTAAAAAAAAATAAATAATGAATAATATGTTTTTTAAATAAATCATAATAATTATTTATCGATTAAAATATTTATAATCCTTTCTTTCTTTCTTTCTTTCTTTCTTAAAATCAAAAATTTATTAGCTTCAGTAGCAAAAGTAAGAATTTTGTTTTTGAGGTAAACTTGCGCGAGATATCTTATTTTTAATACGTTCAGGTATGAGGTCAATATTTGATGGGTAGACGTTCATGGCTTTAAGCAGAGATTGAGATCCATCCTCGAATTCAACCTGATAATGGAATTTGGGAAAAATGAAAGATAAAATAAAGAAGTTAGCAACAGAGGTTGGGAGCCTAGACTATTTTGAAAAAGGATTAAGGTTCATAAAAAAAAATATGCTCAGAACCAATCAAGTATTGATGATTCGTGGGGTTCGAAGATTTGGCTGTATGCCTTCGTTAGAAACGAGTTCCTTAGAATCCTAAAAAGAAGAAGGGGGGGGGATCTGGTTTCGATTCCGAAGAGAGAAAGATTTTTGAGAGGATGGTTCTGGTTTCTAAATCTGGCTCGGTTCCTGATCCAAACTCTTGTCAAAGCAAATAAGAGTGAAGGAGAAAAGGAATACGAAAGGGACAAATCTACATTAATTAAACGTATTTTTTTTTTAAAAAAAAAAGAAAAGAAAGAAACTCACATTGTAAAAAATGTCTAGCTTAGTGCCCTTAAAAATGGCTCCGTACACTTTGCCATCTATCCACCGCACCTTGATAGCGGAATCCATGGGAGGAGCTCCGTTAACGATACAGTCGTAGTTCTAAAAAATCGACAAATAAAATTTTAAAAACAAAATTTAATTTATTATATGTTATATTACGTAATGATATAATAATTCTCAAAAAAATCATAAGAAAAATCAAATGTAAAAGAAATGAAACATAACACGAAATTCTTATTTTTTTTAGATCACAATCGAAAAGCTCAACCTAAAATCTTTTACATTATATAATATATCGAGTATATATTATTTAAAAAAAAAATATTGATTCTTTCCGCAAGGAGTTCGGTTTTCTTCGAGCCGTCTCCGCGTAGCTCTAATCATTATAATTTAGCTCATATTTTATACCATATCGACAACTATTTATTAACTATATGCCATATACATTTGATATGCCCCTTCTTGGTCCTTACACTTATGTACCTCGAATTTCCAACTCGCGATACTTATGGGGGGGGGGGAAGATAGGCGCGATGCACTCCCCTCTCCCCTTTGTAAAATATATATTATATATATAGTAAATAAATGAAATATTATTTTAACCTCCACATCCTGCGGCAATCCGTTATCGCAGTAGGAACCGTCATCGAAGGCGAATTTGTAATATAAATTTCTTCGCGTCTGTTTCACCACGGCCATGTAATAGCGAGTGTTTTTGTGCTTGGCGTAAACGAGCTGATCCTCTTGGAATATTTCCTAAGGGCCCAAGATAAATGATTATTTAGAAATCCTTTCTAAAGAATATTATAATAAATTACTTGTCTATGGCCGCCTGCCTTCCCTAACGAAAAGTGGCCGGCTACCTTGGTTAAAGGGGCGGCTATGTTGGCTTTTATGAACGGGGCATAATGGTCCATGCAAGTGACGGAAAGCGGCGGCTCGGGCCAATCCGCTATCTCGAATCCGCAACCCGATAGGTAGCCACACGTGGCATGGAAGGTTAACGGACAAGCCGAACAACGGAGAGTTAGTCCTACCGAAATATTTGTGTTGTTTGATGAGGATGCGATATTTAAGAAATCGTCTTTGGATTTTGAGTAGTTTTTTGAAGAAGCTTTGATTTGAGCGAAATTGATTTATATAACATTAGGCTATTAAAACAAGTTTAATATTATTTGAAATATTTGGTAAATCATAATCAGGGTTTTAGTAGACTTATAAGATAACGAATCAAAATCGACTCAAACCCCGACCTACTCAAGAATTTGAAAAGTACCAAATAACTGTTAGAATTAATGCAATAGAGGTCACCAGCATTAAGTTTGTTAAGATTCGACTATCTTTTGGAGAGATTTCATGTGCGATTAACCAGTGTCTATCAAGACTCAATCAGAGGTTATGCTGGAATCTTATTTAAAAGAAAGCAATGAAATGGGTGTAAGGAATAGAAGTAGTGGTGGAAGGTGGCCGAAGGATATTGGCAAAGATGCAAAAAAGTTAATTAGACAGGTGTTTAAAAGAGGGTTGGCAAAGGGAGGAAACAGAAATACTTGCTTGGGATAGAAAAATAGATGACGAGACAGGATGTAGTAATGTGCAAACCGCTCTGATAAATCTTAGTTCCAAGTTGCTGCAGGTTTTGCAAAAAAGGAAATCGACTAACGTTATGGATGAAGAATGGTAAATCATCATCATATCCGACTGGAGTGATGACCAAATTGTTTAGAATTTCTATTATTATTCATGTACCATGCAAATGCAATATTTTAACCTTGGAGATCTTTGCTTTATATACTATGTTTTATGTCAATCATTTTGTTTATTACAATCAAATTTTAACTAGATTTCAAGGTGTTTCGTAGAATATACCCTCTCCAGTGATTCAATGGCATTCCATTCAGATCCGATAAATAAAAAATGATGAAGGCCGCGGAATAATTCGGGATAGAATTCAGACGTACAATTTGTTTTTGTGAAGGAAAATTCCTTCAAAATGGGAAATAAATGGGGGTCATCCTGGGTTACAAAGAAATTGATGATAAATTAAGTGCAGCTCATAAGAATGATCGAGTTTTTGGAGAAGGTATTGATGGTCGTCGGAGAGTTCTGAGGAAGAAGCTTCCGAAAGGGAATTCACTAAAAACAAATGCAGAAAAAGTCATCAGGCAAGTAATCGGAATTAAACATTAGTTGAATCGAAATCTGACAGGGTACCATGAAAAATCAGTGGATAGTCTTTAAAAAATTGGATGTAGAAGATGTATGGATGATGCTAGCCATTTAGATTTACAAGCGGGCATGAACGGTAATCAGAACAGCTAATGGGATTAATAAATTTCAAATAATGTTGAACTAAGTATCTACCTTGAGTTCATTTACAATAGGGTTGTGATTGTGACAAAAAAAGGTTCATCAAGCACTACCTTAGAAACTCCTGTGTGTGATCATTTCGGATTGATGGGCATGAAAATTAAAGTGGAATTAAATTATCTGACACCTGTTCGAAGATGAAGGCAAGCAAAAAGTGTTGACTGAAAGCCGAAGGGGGTGAGGAATTTAGAAGAGCATAGAAAAAACTAATTTATTGGAATGCTTGTTCCAGAATTGGGTTCGCAAAGAGTATAGCGTTACGAGGGGAAGTTTACGAGCGAATTGTGCAGAGTATGAAAAGGAAACGCGATACTGCCTACGCAGATGCTGCATCAAACAGCGGAAATGGAATTGATCTGAAAGTAGCGAGATAATTTTGTTACTTAGACGATCTGTTGAGCGCGGATAGAGGTCTGTGTTCGACGGTAATTGCAAAAGGCAAAGTGCAAGATTTTTAGCGAGGGAAGTAGATATAATAGATACTATTATGAAGAGAAACAGACTTAGATGGTAGGTGGGAATGGAATGCGGAAAAACGCGAGGAAATTGTTCGCAGGAAGAAAGGGAACAAAATATCTAAAAGACAACCACATGACACCGGTTAAAGTAGCGATGGCGAACAACGACATTGGATGAGCAGATTAAGTCAGAGATGAATTGATACTCCGATATTCGTATTGGCTAATATCGTGTTAGCACTGGTTTGAGTATGGGCCAAAATGGTGGTATCGGTTGATCTGTAAATTAAACTCAAAGATGCTCATGATCGTGTAAGATGGAGGACACTCTTATCCAGAATAACCTGTATAAAAAAAATAGAACTTCCACTGTGTTTTAAAAAAAAAATGCTATCAGGTAATAAGATGGGTGCACTTCAATTTTTATATATGTACCCAATGTAAAATTTTAAATATTCTTATATTTTCCGAGTTCAACTACTCACAGTTTTGGTCAATATTTTTGGCACGAATTTTGCGTTCGCTCGTCGCGATAATATTATGGCGAGGGGACAGATGATTCGTGAACTTGCCAGAATCATCGAGATTCGCATCGTTGGCGTTATTCGAGTCAATCGAGTTACCAGTAAATTCCGGGGATAGGTCGGAAGATGCAAGAATACTGTGAGTGGCGGCTTTATCGAAATCGTCAAAACCATTTGCCGCGGAAAGGGAATCGTAATTTATTTCGGATTTGATAGACTGGTTGCCGTTGGTCGCTACGGCGCCATCTTTAAATTGGCGGGCATGGGCGGTGGTAGTTAACCCGGAATTATTATGGATATTTTTTGGCGGCTTGGAGGATTTGGAACTAACCGACTTAGGGGTTCTATTAATAAAAGTATATTTTCTTTTGGGCTTAGCGGGGAGTTGTTTCAAAGAATCTTCGTGTTTAACCTTGCTCTTGGGCGGAACGGGAAAAGGGTTAGAAGAAATATGCGAATTCGATTGATCAAAGCATTGGTTGGTGCAAAAGAAGCATGGCTAAATTGTTATTTTTTTTAAAAAAAATATATTTTCATTTACGAAAATTTCTAAATTGTAATCGATTTTGAAGAATAAATTGGTTCGCTCCGGATATATTAATTTTTGGGTATATTCAAAATGGAGGTTGGCCTAGAGAGAGAAATATCGCGCCACAATCTTGATTTCATTTAGTTCCCAAATAATTCCCGCGAACACTTTTTGTAAAATTAACAAGATAGGAAACCTTAAAAAAAGCTGGAACTGAGCAAGATCCTAAATAAACTGCTAAAAGAATGACGACTTTTAGTCTTAGGGATCTAAACCAGAAAAAATAATTTGTCGAGTTTACGGGTCCGGGTTAGAAACGGGCTGCGTGGAAATCGATGACATACAATAATAATACCTAGACTGACGATGCGTTCATTAAAAGTGTAGATGAATGAAAACAGCTGGGGACACCATTTTGATTACATCATATCATTATTTAAAAAAATTTAAACGAGGGGCCAATCAATTCCCTATGTCTGGCGCAAACTTTATTAAAGAATTGCCGGATCTTCGAGATAATAAGGAAGCAAAGTTATCAATTTAATAGTAGATTTTAACAATGAGAATAATTACTATATGGGTTACCAAAATGGCGGGTCCAGCTGATTTGTATTCAACGATGCTTCCAAATGCATTATTATGAATGCATCGTCATTCTAGGTATTATTATATGTCATTGGTGGAATACGAATCCCAATGCCCCCGGCAATTTATATCCCGAATTTATTTGCAAGAATAAAAATAATCATTCAATCATCCGTTAAAATTTTTTTTTTAAATAATCTATAAATCATCTATTTTTTTCAAAAAATAAAAAAATAGTTTCAATTAAATTAAAAAAAATTAATGTCACAGATTAATTAAAAAAATTTTCTTTAGCTAAAACCCATAACTTGTTCTGAAGACAGAGTCTAGAAAAAAAAATTCAGAACTAGAATCTAAGACCAACAGAGTTTCTCGATTCTGGTAATTGTCCCTGGAGCAACTTTCCCCATAGCTCCGGAACACAGTTTGATGGACCCGAACTGGGATGACGAGAACCATGATGGAGATATAAAATAATAAATCAAGCAGCTAATAAACCGCGAAAGATATTAATTAAGTAAAAAGGGTGTTTACATGTGCCATGGATATAGTATGCAAATTTTAGGATGAAAATCGAACTTTTTTAAAATTAATTTGATATATATGTATATATATCTTTCTTTCTCTTTATTTATTAATTTCTTTCCTTCTTTTTCTTTCTTTCTTATGAAATGTTGAATCTTTAACCCAAATTTGTATATTATATCATACATCAGGCATGTGATAATAATAAATGAGGCGGCATTAATATAAAAAGTAAACTAAATGACTCCACGTGTAAAGTATAGTAAAAAATATTACATTGAATTAGTTTAATATATTATCTGCAAAAATTTGTTTTATTCCACATTTCCCCTGTAAAAAAAAATCTTCCTGATAACTCTCGATTTTATAGATTATAGTTTTTAAAAAAATGATTAATTAATTTTACCGCCGACAGGCGATCGTAAGCGCTCAAAGCGACGAGCACCCCCTGGCGTTCTGCCACTTTACCGAAAGATACGTCCGGGAGGGTAACGGCGCAAATCACGTGACACCAGCTATTCCCGTCTAAAGTAGAGGTCAGGGCGCCGCCCCTCAACCCGCAAAGGCTACACGAGGGAAGATTATTTGGTAAAGACGCGCACGCGCGACAAGTCCAAAAAGTAAGGTCCTGAGGTAGAGCGGACAGTTGGATGCCATAGCAAACTTGAAAATGATAAAATATAAAATTTTTATTTCAATCATTTATAATTTAATGAAATATATGTGAAGATTGTTAGGTGGGGGGTGGGGTGTAAACATTTTCAATCAGCATTTAGGAATAGATGACAATTTAAAAGTTGCGAATTTAATGGATGGGGGAATAAATTTAAATAATGCCAATCAAATATTCCCCCCCCCCATTTGTCATAATTCACTAAAACTATTTTAAAAATAATTTGAAGAGTGCAACTTACAAGCATGAACAGAAACGGCGCATATTCTACACTTCAGCAGACGATCGTCTCCTTCCTTCGCCTCAATGGCTTTTTTGTTGAAATAGTCTGCTTCCCTTTTATCGTCTGCCTCTCCTTTAATATTCTCCGCCTTCGTTATTCCTCTTTCGTGGATGAAATGATCCGCTCCGGCGATTGCTGCCTCATCTTCACCACTCAGGCAGCCGCCATCTTGAATTTGTCTGGTGTCGAAACAAACTTCCGGTAATAAAATAGGGGCCCGATCTGGCGGATGGGTATTATTCTTGTTCCCGTCATCGGGCAACGCCGTATCGTAATAACTGTTGCGGGAGGTTAAAGGAACCTTATTTTTATCGTCAGCGTTATTTGCGGACAATATTTTAGGTGCAGGTTCTGGATGTTCCTCTTCTTCCAGCATGAACTTAAGATCGGAAGATCGCGTTTCGCCTCGTACCACTATTTCCTTTTTGGCCTTCGGTAAAATGACAAAATAAATAAATGAGAAAATTTGGGGTATGAATTGATTTTGCGGGAATTTCCCGACATGTGTGTATTAGTTATATATATGTGACATTCTGCTTTAAGAATTTCTAACAATAAAGAATTGCCTGAAAAACTCAAAGTGATATTACTTTAAAGTTTTCGAAATGTTATAATAGAAAAAATGGTGGAAAATAAAAATGCAATGATAATATATTCGATTTAAAAAAAATAACTGGATAAATAACTTTCCCAAAATCCTTGTCAGGCGCGACTCCGAGTCCCGCGAAAAGACCTACTTTGCCATCATTACCATTCACTTTCCCGCCACTCGAAGCATTGAGTCCTCCGAAGCTGCTCGATAGAACGTCATCGGCGATTAAGGTCTCCTTGAATTGGTGATACCTAGAGATATCCATGGGCTTAAGCAATTGACAAATGGAACACCAGGCCCCTCCCCTGGCAAACCAGGTGTTGAACCGTCGAAGTTGCGCCATATCGTTGTTACTTTCGTCCAATTTTCCCTCGAGAATTTCGTCGGGTGTGTCAGCGGGTGGAGTGCTATTTTGATTGATAAGGGATAGATGTTTTATATAACAAATACTTTTTTTTAACAAATGTCATAAAGGAGAACTGATTGGGTTTTAAACATACGCATGTGCAGTTACTTTTTTTTTAAAAAAAGGATAACTCACAATTTTATTTATTCCCAATAAAGAATCGTTATTTTTGTGACAGTTTTCTATTATAATCTTTAAAAAAAAATTAATTTGTAACCTTTCAAAGTAAGGTTTCCAAAGGATGGGATGAGCCAGGGTGGCGGCCCTGTATAAAATGGCATCATCTCTAAGCTTGTAGGATTTGGTTATATCCGGCATACTATACTCGATTTTTTCTAAATAGTGGGTTCAATAAATAAATATATATTACCGGAAATGGGGATACGAAACCGGATGAAATATAAAAATCAAAACCAAACCAAAACTTTCTCAAAATTTCTAGGAATCTCAACTAAAACATGAGTACAATTGATTTATATGTATATTGAATAAATAAAAATTTGAATTGCTTATAATTAACAAGGAATAGGCACTCCTTAGAAACAAATAGAAGAACCGGAAATAACAGAATTTCCGGGAACCGAAATCAAAGCGCCCTTTTATAAAGTAAAATATCTAAAAACCGGAAACGCATTTTATTTCGGGTTTCCAAGCTTTTGATTTTTCATCTTTCATTTTTAATTACTAAAATATCCTAGCAATAAAAATATTTAACGGGCGGGCTTGTGGTCTAAAAATCCGCCCATTGCAGACCTCTAGAAACTCAAAAAGAGGGAAAATATTCCTCCACCCCCGCCCCCCCCCCATTCTCCGAAATATTCTTATTTAAACTCTATACCGACTTACAGTGTTGTTGTATTTATTACCAATCGAACTAAAAAATTGAATTAAAACTACACAGGATTAGAATTAAAAAAAATGGTGTTCAAAAACGTTCCCCATTTCTAACTAGTCTAGGTCACCACGAAACCTATTCAATAATGTATGGTATCTGTGCACCTAATTGAGAAGAGAAATCTTTAGTAAAACTAAGGGATATTCTTAAAATATGCTTGATGCCTAAAACTGATACTGTATAAATATAAAGGGGGGGGGGAATTTGCGACATCCAAATATACCTCAATTTTGCTTCGAAGACTAAAAAAATACATCTAGCGATTAACCGCTCAATTGGGCATAAGCTAGATCATTCTTTACGAGATAGGTTCGTTGCAGGGCTGGAGGTCTAAAAGGTTCCCTGTGGTCTGGCTCAGGATCACCGTCTCCTCGACGGGATGTAAAAACCACCTAAAGTGGGTTGATGTCAGGAACCTTGCTACAAAATTTCCTAACGATTAAATCAGAGGGACAGCTAACTGACCAACCTGGGAATCGCCAATAGGCTGAGAAGTTGATTATCTCATTGATATTATCACATAAAAATTCTAGTTTTTTTTTAAAAACCATTTTAATCTTTTACAAAGAATCTCGCCACAAGATCGATCATAATAAGAAAAATAAATAAATTTCTTATAAGCGCGCACGAATTGAGCGCTCACGTTTTTCCGCAATTTTTAAATATTATCTTAAAAAACGTAACGCGTCCCTTGTTTAAATCGAGGTTGTCTTTTTTTTATTAATCATCCGTCGATTTCAAAATTTTGAATAAGTTTCTAAAAAAAAGAAGAAGATATTTATCGTTTGAAAATTATATTATCGTCTGCGTTCTTATTTTCTTCAATTTCTAAAAATATTCCTTCTTTTTTTTTTAGGATTATAAGTAAGTTATTTATAATTACATTTTTATATAATATTTTACGAAACGGGGAATAATTAAAAGTATCGAAAAAGCACAGCTGTTAGAGTTTTTTTTTTTTAAATGGTTGCTAAAGCCAAACGGTAATTTTACCGATTTGCAACTAGTGTTGTCTTTAATTTCTAAATATTCCTTCTTTTTTTGCAGGATTATAAGTAAGTTATTTATAATTACATTTTTATATAATATTTACGAAACGAGGAATAATTAAAAGTATCGAAAAAGCACAGCTGTTAGAGTTTTTTTTAAAAAATGGTAGCTAAAGCCAAACGGTAATTTTACCGATTTGCAACTAGTGTTGTTAAAACGGCTCGATTTAAGCCGATTTGTAAAAACCGGCAAATCAACATTATAGCCAAGAAAATATCGCCCTAAGCGTCGAGATTTCGCCAACAGATGTTCAATCCTAACGTGCCATCTGTGAGCAAAATCTTTAGGCTTGCGTAGTAATATTTTTTTTCTGGACAAAATAATTGAGTTAGCCGTTCAGCAAACACCAGCTGGCGCGCAATAATAATAACGTTCTTTACCGGTGTCCGGCTTCGCAGGCGCGTTGGGGACTTTTAACTTGGGTTTACTAAACACTATTTTACTGCTGTTAGATAACGCGTGCGGAAGGTCGGGCGTTTCGACAAAATTTTCGGCCGGAAAACACACGTGCCTGACAGGAACGGGAGATTTATCTTTCCTATATATGAAATTTTTATTCAACATTTACATTTACAAAATAGTTTTAAAAAATGATTATCTATTTAAGCCAACCAAAAAGAATTTAAAAGAAGATATCAATCAATTTTGTTCATCTTTCAAGAATCCGCTTCATCACTTGTAGCATCTACCATAAATTGAAGAAATAATCCTAAATGATCCAAAGGTTCCAAGAAGAAGAAAAACGAAACTCCTTCGGGATAAATCTTTCTCCCCAAAAGATCTCAGGACAGGATCGGACAATTGGCGCCAAATATTTTTATGGGCCTGGGGTCGAGCCTAGGGTTTGCTATTTTATTTAAATCTTAGGAAATTGGGAAAAATTTAAGACTTCTTTCCTTCCTTTAAAAAAAAAAATTATTAACGGAACTTGGACGGTAAAAATGTACAAAATTATTTCTAGCGAGTTAGGGTTGGGTTAAAAAAAAAAAACAATCTCAAAATAAAAACTTTTTAGCTTTGATTTCCTTTTCGCCAGCACGGGATTCGATCTGCCCAGTTGGAATATGGCCACCATCGATCGCGAACATCTTCCTTTTGGTCGGCGATTTCGGTACCCTATTTTTAACCTCACTTTTGGCGTTGGCGACGATGTCGCCCGCATCTTCTTGGTCATCATTTTGCCGCTTGGAGGAGGGGCCGAACCCCGATTTGAGATCTTGATTGTCCACGGTCTTCATATTTATATTCGATTTATATCATTATTTCCGTACCTCGACACGCGTTTACACGTTATCAGATATAATAATTAAATCTCGCATTAAAGGACCTTAATTAAACCCGTCATGTTCAAGCTCGTAATTAGGGTGAGGCGGAAAAATAATTGGCCGGAAGTGAAAAAAAAATCTCTAATAATGATTCTTACAATATAATTCTCCCTGAATCGATTTTTTTGAGGATTTTTATTTTTCGTGGATATATATTTATAGGGAATTTTTTTTCCCGGGAATTATCTTCCTAGATTCCGGCGGCTGAAAAATTTCAAAAATCGAATATACATCATTTACACTTGGTTTTTCTCTTATTTTTATTTTTTTCTAAAAAAATGGCCTCTCAAGGAATACGTCTTCATTGTAATAGCAGTTTCAGGTTAACTAAACCCTCCGCGTTTAAGCTGGCGATAAGCGATAGATCATTTCGCCAAAGTATAATAAGACCTCGTTTATTTTTCTAAATCGGAATCACGTGGGTCTATTGGACCTGTGATCAACGCAAACCGACTAGACCACAGACGATATAATAAAGCATCCATTTTGTTTCTTCATTATTTGACGTTTCTAAACGTTGCTTTGGTAAAATTTATTAAAATCGTGAAAAAAAAACAGTGCTAGCGTGGTGTATTAGCCCCACTTTTACATGCATAGACCATTTGCTAAAGGATGCCCTTCATCCCAAAAATATCTCAAAAACACCAAACAAAACACTAACAACATTTTTAGACGTATTCTTAGCCCGCAAATATAGACCGCAGAGATTTACTTACCAATTTCTTAATCAAACTCTTTTCTAAGTGCTGTTAAATAGTCGAGTTTATTCGACTCTGAACTCAGCTGACTCCTGAGCCGATTTTATATATATAATTGCTAATAAATGTCTATCACATTTATTCAATCTAATAGTAATCTTATTGGGTAAATCCATCCAATGATATATTAAAAATATTTCATGTCGCATTTTTTTTATATATATATTTCGCGAAAAAGTGAAAGTGCTAGAACACCCGGAAGTTGGAATCGAACTAGCGAATCGCCACCGAATATTTTAAGTGAACATTTATGCAGCTCAGCGCCATGCCCTTACCGATATATCGCGATGCCCTCACGTGATTTTAAATTTTATTGTTATTTTATTTACAAAAGTTGTCTTTTTTTTTGACCCTACAATAATATATATGACCAATATAGGTGTCAATCGATAGCTAATAAAAATATTTGTCCAATAGGAGGTCAACCGACTCCTCTCTCCCTTAATGGGAGAGTCCGGTCCCAATGGATCGGCAATAAAAAAAAATTAAATCTCTCTTATATTTGTATAATTTCGGGATCGAGCTGAAAATTCGGGTCGGGCCGGACCGGGTTTGATAAATTAGGCCAGATTTAGATCATTATTTTTCATTTAGCCAAATATTAAATTTTCTAAAGTAATTCTGATTTTGGGAATTCAAATTAGTCAAGAAACAATATTTTTCTGACTTTATATATATAGATATTATATAATTATTTATCAAAAAAATATTTCTAATTTAAATAGTTATTTATTTTTATTATTTTAGTAATTTGGAGAAAAAAAAATTATTTACTAAATCATGATAAAAAAGAAATAAGTATAAAATAAAACGTTATAAAGTGCGTAAAAATTGAACGTTTCAAAAGTTAAAAGATACTTTTTAAATGGATCTAGATACAGATACATCGTTAAAATATATCTAGATACAGATTTTAATCAAAAATCTATCTAGATACAGATACCACATTTTTATATCTAGATACAGGATCCTTTAACAACTCTGCAAAACGCAGATAAAAAAAACGTAAAAGCAGCTCAGATTGGGTTGTAAATTTTACGACCGAGAAAATTAGCAACACTGAAAATGGATCAATTTGGGCAATTTTTTTAAAGATAACGTAAGTTCAATATTTTTCATCATATACGCTTCACGATTTTACTCGTAGATAGCATAGCACAAAGGTTTGCCAATGCTTATGCAATTTATTTCTGGGTAAAATATTTAGTCAGCTAGACACTAGTTTGGACATCTACTTTTTGCTTCCTTCCAATATTATAAGATATGGGAAAGTGGGCAAAGCAACATGATTGGTTAAAAAAAAGGTGCTTTCAAATTCAAAATTTCTTTAGGTATTTTTTTATTCGATTTAAATTTTAAATTAAACGACTCGAGTTCACAAATTATATACAGAAAAACGGGTTTTTACTAAACTCGGGAGTAGGCTTCAGAAGTCTTCCAGGGAGTCGGTTCAGTTTTCTAACGCAAACAAATGACTTTAACAATTAAAAATTATGGGACAATCTCCTAACTTTTGCCAATAAATGCCTTCCTTACCCCTCCCAAATTCAATAATATTTCTCATGTTTGATCGCATTACAGAATTCGAAACATTTCGCCTTCTTCCTCATTAGCTAAGTATAATACTTTTCAGTTTAAACAAATTAATGAATAGTATATATATATATATATATATATATAAGTTTAATGAGGAAAAAAAAATATCTATACCTTTTTGGGTTAAATAAAATTATTTTTCCGCGAAATTCTAATATCAATCACCTAACTTGCGCCGACCCCAAACAAGGCTTGATAAGCCATGAGAACAAAGCAAAATTAAAAAAATATAAAAACCCATTTTAGCTTCCCTTTTTTTGAATCAACCTATCAGCCATCAAGACTTTTTTTCTGAGACTCAAGGCTACGTCCAATCTTCTTTTTTTAAAAAATGTCTCGAGCTGAGAGATTTACTGTCACTTACTCTAATGTCAATAATATTTCGTGTCATTTTAGTGTCACCAAAATATGGTGAACTAACAGTGAGAAAAATATTTCGCCGTATGTAATATTTCTCTTCTCTTTTTTATTGGATAATAAAAATTATAAAAAATTTTGACTTACGTAGCATGTATTATGAGCGCCTTCCGGACAAGACGGGTGTCTCTTGGACCGCTTGAGGGTTAACTTTAGGTCCCCTCCGTTAAGTCCTAAACTTTCTAAACGCGATAATAAGTTTGTTTGTTTTTTTTAAAAAAAAATAAGTCTTTCAAATATATGTACAATTTTTTAGTATGATGCTCACACATGCTAAACAAATGAATTTGCACCCAAGTAATTCTTGTATCTTATAATACTTAAAATCGTTTTTAATTTTAAAATAGCTCTATCTAATCCCCCCTTATTACTTAGTTCTAAATGGGGTATATTGATCATACCCTTAATTTTCTCATCTCATTCGTTATACTGAGACGACATAAATAAGATATGGTAGATAATATTAATTATTAATGGTTCTAATTAAAGCATTATCATTTATTATACTTCAGATACATTAAGAATATCTTCAGATACATTAAGAATATGATAATGTGAATAAATGATAGATTCTTCTTCCATATCATGAATCTTTTATCACTTGTTTTTTTAAAAAATAATTCTCCTTACCCAGGGTAATAATTATTTATTATTATTATTTTAAATGGCGATTTTCGTTAAAAAAAAATTAACATACAAAAAGTGCATAAATATGCAAAACGTTACATATAGACAATCTTAATTCGCATTTATATTAATGCGCGAAATCTGGTCCCATCCGCCAAATATAGTTTCAAGAGTGCACCGCGATATCCAATACCGTGTTTAACAGCTGTTTTTGTTAATTTAACTGATCGTGTTCAAGGCAACAAACATAATATCAACCACCGAGACAAACAATTCGATCATTTAAATGTTGTGTCCATAAAAAAGGGCTAATAGTGTTAAATTTATACCAAAATTCTCAAAAAATAAGGGAAATCGAAATGGCGCGCCAGCAGCTGATTTGTATTAAACGATGCTTTGTTGAGCATCTTGAGTGAATGAACGTATGGTCTGTCTAAGTAAATATTATCGTGCCATTGTTTTAATAAAGCCTTGAGCACTCCGGAACTCCCACATAAACCGTTTACCAAGTCCAATAAAAAGTTCAAAAAAACTAGTTTCTAGGAGACTTTCAATCTAAATATCTATCAAATCTTCCGCATGTTAGAATTTTAACTTATAGGCCAAGGTGTAAAAAGGATGGTTAGATTCTTATATCACATCCTCCCCAACCCCCTAACCATTTAAAGCGGCAATAAAATTTTAACCGATTAATTTGGCCTTTATTTTATGTACATGTTAGCGGGCAATGTGTTATTCCCAACTTTTAAAATCGATTTTTGAGCGCGTTATTTCAAATTTAAAAATTCTAATTTTAGACCAGAAATGTATTCCAGCCATGTTTCGAATATTTATCACCTGAATTGTAGACATTTTAGCCGTTATTAACCTTTGAATCATTTATAATTTGCATTAAAATAATCTACGGAAAAACTAATATAAATTAAATCAAGTTCAAAAGGTTCGTGGCAAAAATTGTCTGAAATTCTTAGGATTCTCAAACATGCTGGAATTCATTTCCGACAAAATCGGATTTCCAAATCTAATGAAACGCTCTCAAGAAACATGATTTAAAGTTGGAAAAAAAAATAACTACATTGACGCTAACATATATTTAAATTTTCTCTCATTTTCGTCATTAAAAAAAATATATTTTTTAAAAAAAAACCTTTGATTGTCCTATCGTCGGCTTGACCACCGAGATAACCGATTTTGGCGTGGAACATGGGCAGAATTTCGGCGTAAAGCTGGGCTATGTAGGCGTCGTAAGCCGGTTGGTCCTCTGGGTGGGGCCCGGTGTCTAGACCGGCTTTCCACAGGGCGTACCGCTCGGGCTGGTACTTTCTGACGAATGAGTCCATGCCTATGCGAACCATGTCGGAACTGCAAGAACACTTAAAGAACGCATGATATAATGAGTTAAAAAAATTTGGCGTTTTATTCGTTTCACATCGGTTCTTTCAAAGTAAAAAAAAAAATGTTTATCATTTTATTTTTATGATTGAAATTCTGTCTCGACATCAATCTACCTCCAAAAAGAAAGGTGACATACGTGTGTATCACGCATTAAAAAAATATGATTTATGATTATAATTCTTGGGTTCGGGGAAAGCATACCGATGCCAAATATCTACAAGATACTTTTGCGGACTATATACCTATACATTTATCTATGGACGTTACAATGCTAAATAACTGTATGGGATTATTATTCCGATTGAATATAGTGAATGGGCCACACCATTGGTTCCAGTAAAATTTTTTATTGATAATCGTTTCTAAAAAGGGGGGGGGCGGTGGTATAAGTGCGTCAATGAGTATTCGCACACATACACGCACTAACACAAATAAAAAAGAGATTTTTCCTTCTCAAAAAAAAAAATGGGGTTTTATCCATTTTTTAAAAAACAAAAATGGTGGCAGCTTCGAGAACCTTCGGACGAAATAAATGAGAATGGGACAATATCATATAATAATACCTAGGACGATGCATTCATTTAAAAGTGTACATCAACGAAAACAGCTGGGGACGCAATTTTTACCCATGTCATTATTTAAAATATTTTAACGAGAGACCAATTTGCTCCTATATCTGACGCAAACTTTATTAAAGAATAGCCCGGTCATCGAGATATTAAGGAAGCAAAGATATCAATTTAATAGTTTTCAACATGAGAATGGGTTACCAAAAATGGCGGGTCCAGCTGATTTTCATTCGCCGACGCTTTCGAACGTATTATTATGAAAACATCGTCAGTCTAGGTATTATAATATAATTATAGTTAAATAAAAACAGATTTAAAAAAAAATCATTAATTTACTTTGTCTCGAATCCTAGATCCCACAGAATATTCCAAGATTGACGTTTTTAAAATTTAATAAGAGAAGAGATTTTTTAAAAAAATAATTTTATTATTAAAATACGCTAACGCTCCGTTTCGGGCTAACCATGTGGGAATGTTCCTAAGGGGTGCGAAAAATAACTTAGAAGAGAATATAGAAAAAGGAGGTGAGGGTTGGGGGGAGGAGTTGAAGAAAACAATAAATTAATGGGGAAGGTGGAGAAAATATAAATTTTGGTGAATAAATAAAATAAGCATACTAAAGTGGCCCGTTTGCCATACTCTATCCATCTGATGGAGGCGAAATTGGTAGATTCTGCGCAGTTAAAACCGTGGTTATAACCTTGATGGTAGGCGTAAGGAAAAGTGATCATGAACTCGCCCGGTTCTTGGGTTATCTTTAAAAAGTATTTGCATATTCAATAAAAAAAAATTATATGTCTGTAATAACTGACCGGTTTAAATGGCCCCGTGGTCGGTCAATATTTCAAAAAAAAATTATTTATTTTTTACCGGTCTAAAATGGACCGTTACCCGAGAATAAAAAAACTAATTAATTCAATGTGCATAATTGATGGCGTAAAATATACGATTCGAGTGCCAACTTAAAGATGACGAACCTCAAGTTATTGGCATATGAGAATGATCTAAATATATAATTGTCAAAAAAAAACAATGGGGCCCCCATTGATACCCCAAAAGTAAGATATTGTAGTCATAACCCCCGAACAAAAAAAAATTCAGACTGCGAAATATTAGAAGAAAATAAATTTACTTTATTGAAAGGCACGGCGTATTTCTTGAGCACGAGCGGGCTCACGAGCGTCATCTTGTGGCGCAGGAAGGCTTTGCAGGTCTTAGCCGTGGCGGTGAAATAATTTTCCGCCAGCCTTTGCAACCGCGAGGCGTACTTGGGAGGCACGGCGTACCAAGATTTGGGCATTCCAAAATGGAGGTAGTTGACACTGTAAAGGTCCATATCTTCGGTGTGCCAGGCGAAGGAAGTCTTCCACATTCCTTCCCATTTCGTAGTTTGTTTTTTTTACATTTTTATATAATATACAAAATTGTTCAACTTTCTTTTCTCTTTTATTCTCCTAGAGGAATCGAAAAAATGTTGCTTATAATTTTTTTTTGATAGATGTTAGGAAGGCTCTTCCCTTCCAGGTTTCTTTATTCATTTTTCTTAGGATTCATGGTTTCGCTAAAATCCCAACTCTGAGCCAATTCGAATACCGCGGCAAGTAGTGTTGTCGAAAAGCCCGATTTGGGTCGATTTTTAAAGAACGGCCCGGTTAAGATTTTAGCCCGAGATAACATTATGTAATCCTCAAGATTCAGTAAATAGATGTTCAAACCGTTCTCGCCGCCAGCTATGAGAAAAATCTCCTTACTTACACAATATTATTTCGGTTATAACCTTATTCGGGCTAATTTTAAAAATCAACCCAAATGACTTTTTAACACTAGCGGCAAGCTTTTAGTCCAAAAAAAATGATTTAAACCTCCAAGTCGAGTCTCAGCTTGAATGATTGAGACAACAATTGGTGGGGAGTGGAGGATGAAAACTTGGCTAAATCGTATTTTTTTTGAAGCTAGCTAAAGGATAGGTGATTTATCACTAACATCGTCTAGCATCCTTAGACTCTTTCCATTGGCCAAAAAAATAGTGATAATGAAAACTCTTACCGAAATAAAGGTAGGCCGTATTGACGCCCTCGATCCTGACCTGGCAATCTCTTTCCACGTCATCGAGGATGGTGCCGAGCTTGTTGATGTTCCAATCTTCCGTGTGCGCCGGATTATCCATGAGGGAGCCCGAAACATCCGCCCCGTATATGGCGTTATTGTAGGGGGCGTTGGCCCAGTACTTGCGCTCCAAGTCGTCGTAATCGGAAAAGGCGGGAGTTCGATATCTGAGCATTGTTTTTTTTTTAGAAATAAAAATAAATAATCATATTTTTATTTATTTATTATAAAAAGGGGAACAAATAACACCACTAAACAATCCCAAAAAAAATTTTTGTCCTTACCACATTTTTTTTTCCCGAAAATAGGAAAAGATCTCAAGATATCTATCAAGAAAGAAATTAAGAATAAAAGAATTAAGCAACAGCAGAATTCATGAATGCTATGATATTATTTTTTGGAACAGTAAATCAAAAAAAAAATGGATAATTTTGGCACAGTCAAAAAAAAAAAGATAAACAAAGTTGGGTTGTAATAAACTAAAAAAAAATAAAACTTTCGATATTTATTTTGAAAGTTGTTTTAAATACAAATATATATTTTTAAAATCTAAGTTATCGAGCATATGAATTGTATCGGAGAGCTGCAGAGGTACTATTTACACAGCCCGGCCCGGATTTTTTTCCGCTAGCCCGGGTTTTATATTTTCAGGCCCGGCCGGATTTATTTTTGATTTTTTTATAGCTAATAACGGCGATTAAAAATATAAGGCCCGGCGCGGGTATATTTAAAAAAATTAAAATACGGCCAGGCCGGCCCATGTACCCGGGCCGTGCTTGCAGGTCACTGAATTATATGAGAATTATCATATCAAATATCGAATAATGTGATGTGATCCATTACCGGATTCGTAAGTGTTTTAGATTAAACCTGTCATTGAGCAAATCAAGTGTGACGATAATTTTAAACCTGCAATTATGATAGGAATACACATTATATAAATAATTTTAAAATAAGATTAGTGGCGAATTGTAGATCCCTTCGCCCTTAAATTTTATGTTAGTTTTACACAACCCAGATTAAAATTATTTCTCCTGACTAGGCGCCTTTTCGGGCGTCGAGGCTGGCATTTCTTATTGATCAATTGTCTTTCACTTTACGACACCAGTTTTCTAGCTTTTAAGGTAATTATTGTATTTGCGATAAATTTATTATCGAGTAAAAGTATCGTTTTTTTCTTCTAGAATTTACCTACTACTATTGAAATGGCAATAACCGGGAAATAATTGTCAGTATATTTTTATCCACATTAAATAATCACCCTATTTCTTGCTTCTTCCGCTAATTCCATTGGCGTGGTTCCTATAGGGCGATTAATTAAGCCCACCTCATAATGTGTTCACCATTATTTAGCCAAAAAAAAAATTTTTTTACAGCCGGCGGAAATAATTTATTCCTCAGTTTTTTCGAAATCTAATACAAAGCAAATAGGTTATATGTCTGATTTCATTTTTTATTTCCCATCCTTACCAATCACAGGTTCATTGGTAAATCGATAAAAAAAAAAATTTGAACGATGATGTCATCGCACACATTTTAAACGTCAAATGTTCCAAAAAAAAAACATAAATAATATTGAAAAATTAAATTATTAATATAACTAACTTGACAAAAAAAATTTTAAAAAATACTTAACCAAATGTTCTATTTATATACTTCCAATTTAATTTAAATTCTGACCATTTTGATAAGTTTTTCCTAGTGTTGTTAAACGGCTCAAATTGAGCCGATTATCCAGAAAAATACTATGCAAGTCTAAAGATTTCTCTCATAGATGGAACATAGGATCGAAACATCTACTGGCGAAATCTCGACGCTTAGGCGATACTTTCCTGGCTATGATGTTGAGTTAGCCCCTTTTAAAAATCGGCTCAGATCGAGCCGTTACAAAAATGCTGGAAAAATGTAAAAGTTACATTGTAATTATGGAATCATTTCCTAATTACGTTTGCGGTATACTTGATCCAAGGATTAAGAAAAAAACAACACTAGTCTTTACTAGTGTGGTTAAACTAAAACTCAATATTTCATCCAGAAAAAATATTGAGCAAGCCTAACTGAAGATTTTGCTCATAGAAGGAACAAAGGTTCCCAGGAAACATTAATGAGATCTCGAGGGCGTAGGCAATATTTTTCTAGCTACAATATTGAGTTAACCGTTTAACAACACTAGTTTTTTTTAATGTCCATTTCTTGATAAAAAAAAACTGCCCGAAAAAATTGTCAACTTTTACGAAATAAATGTTTGACAATTAATCAATAATAATTTATTTTATAACCGGAAATATAATTTTACAAATAGGGCTTAAAATAATTTTCGTGGAATAGGAAGTTAAATTTTTTTTAGGGGAGTGAGAGGAGAACGGTGGGGAATGGGGTGTTGTTAGGGGGGTAATTTCCTCATTGGCTAAGAGGGACGTAGAAGCGTCATTCGATGATCATTTTTTTAGAAATAAATATTTCACTCATATTTAAAGGAAAATTATTATTAAATTTTTCCGCCGATCCGATATTTTCCTAAATTTCCCCCCAAAAATGTGGTTACCGAATCATATAATTTATTTTTGCGAATATCGAAATAGAAGTGGAACGGTGATCACCCAAATTTATTTTCGATAAAACTATTTGGCTATAGGGAAAAAAAAATTTAACCCCCCCCCCTCCTCCCTTCCTCACTCTAGTATTCCTATTTAATAGGAATCCTTAAATAAAAAAATAACCGATTCGGGCCAAAATCCCGCGAAATTCTGATAATCTAAACTAAAAAAAAATGGCTGTAGTTATGAATATTTTTCGAAATTAGTTTTAATGTCCAATAGGGGGTTCTGATTCTTAAATATGAACCAGTTCCCTAGGGTTCGGCTATTGATCTCTCCCAAAAATTCTTAACCTCTCCGCCCTCCGTCCTCCCACCGTTTTGGGTTCGAGAATTTTTAACGCTCCTTTTTTTACGGCAAAATTTGCGAACAAATTCAAAAATACCCCGGGTGATTGGTTGTCCAATCGGTCCAAGTTTGGTTTACAGGTTCAGAAACGTTGAGTTGGTTTATGAGTTTTAGTTACTAAATTAATATTATTATTATTTAAAGAAGGTATAAACTTTTCTGTGAAGGCGAGTTTCTTGAATTCCCTAACAGTCATGGGTTTCTTTTGAATGTTGAATTGGGTGTAAATCCCATTTTTTCCAGAAACCATTTGAGAGATGGGTGTGGGGATAATCAAATCTTCGAATTCTTCGTAGTCTTTCAGCGTGGGTTTCCATTGGGGTGGTGGTATAACCTAGTCGCGTACAAAAAAAAATTTCGTTTAAAAAGGTGTATGTGTCGTTATTTTTTTTCAAGCACAATTTAAACAACTCTTTAAAACGTCAATCAATAACATATTCATGCCAATTATAGTTTGTGTCAGTTGAAGTCTGTTAGCTTTCCAGCTCCAACGAGGTTGGCTCATTTTTATTTTAAATTTTCAAACATTGATGGAACGTAAAAGCAATTGTGTATCCCAAAATGGGCAAAACAGTTTTCTAAATTTTTTAGTAAGACTTTAGCGCAGGGTACGCCCCCTCCCTCCAAATGACGCAACAAAAATGGGGTGGGTGGTGGGGGGGGGGGTTGTAATAGAAATCTCAAATCAATAATTTTACCATGGTCAAATCTTTTTTTAAATCAGTCGAATAATTCATTTATCCTTTCGAAGAAAAAAAATATCATAATTCCTAGGCGACTCTGGAATATTAATATAGAATCCCTGAACCGAACCGGCAAGGCGATTTTAAAATGTTATAATAGGTCCCAAGCCTGCCCCAAATAAGCCCTGTTCCATTATTGGACCAACTTGCGGACCCATAATTCTGCGCGAAATAGCCGGTTAGCATTGGTAGGAATGAACACTTAAATGGGCTTTAAGCATTTTTTTATGAAATGGAAATTAAGGGAGTAGTCGGTATTCTATAGGGCTGGGTTTTTTGAAACTGAATCAAGACCGTATTTAGAACTCCATATCGGCACTATTTTTTTAAGGTTCATACCCGCGTTGTTTGACCGTTCGTGTTGGATCTGATGCAAAATAAATTTAGAAATCGGACCGAGTTCAATAAAATTCTGTATGAAAGGATTTCAAAAATATTTGAAGGGAAGTCTTAAAAGAATTAACCCATTTCCTTATATGTCTGTCAGAAGTTGTTTCTCTAGATATAGATCTGAAGGGAATATTTATAGGAGAGAGTGACTAAATCGAATACCACTGATAAAGAGTAACATGTATCTAGATACTTTATACAGTTTTTTTTTACTGACACTGACACCATGGGCCATCAACAATGAAATTATCCCCTTTAAAAATAGTTGGTTTAATAAATTTTATATAGATTTTTGTGCCTGAAAAAAAACAATAAAATCTTTTTTTAAAAATAAATTATTCAGAAGTGCATATATAAAGAGTTAAGCTATGATTCCATATGAGATCTTTGGTACATTATTGCGTAATAAAATATTCCAAACAATTTATTTTATTAATTTTTTTTATGTATTAAAGTATGGAAACAAAAGAAATCTTAAACTAGATCCTAAAGTTGTTGTGCACTTTTTGCATCTTTGATTTTTACCTCAAACAAATCATAGATTGGCAGGCTCACATTTTATATAACATCTTATACATAAAAAATTCGGTAATAAAATATGAGTTCCAAAAAAAAATCAATTGGCTTTTTATATGAACAAAATAAACAATTTAAAAAAATTATGATTCCAAAATTTGTCATAAGGTACAAAAGGGTTAGAATCTGGTGTATATAGATTTCAAATGGATCCTGGAGGTTCCTATAAATTAAGAAGTGTTCTAAGTTCTGAATCCTATATTTTATCAGGTTTTCAAGGTTCGTAGTTCTTGTTCAAACTGCAAATTTCTTTATAATTTATATTATTGATGTAAAGGTAAGAATATTAAAATTATATAAATTGTTATATTTATTAATATTAGTTATGCATCGATGATTTTAATTCTTATCATGATTTATTAAATCATTGCATCATAGAAAAATAAAGTAATAGTTAATATATAATTTTTTTAAGATTTAACTGCAATGGCAAGCAAGGCTAACAGCTGGGCACTGGCTGAAAATGCTATGTTAAAATTGAACAATTTAAAATTTTGTGAAATTTATTGAATGGAACAGTTAGTTTAACAATTTTAAAGCTTTCTGTGGTTTCAGAAAATAGAATAAAAATTTTTTTAGCCTTTTCTAGAACTTAGATGAGCCAGGCAACCTGGGCAAAATATTTTTGGTGTGAACATTGTACAATATTAAATCATACAAAATTGTGATATTTACTTCACAGAAAAGTCATTACAGGCAGGCTGGCAAAAGAAAAAGTTAACCAAATTCTCAAATTGGGCCATGCTAATTTCTATAATAATATTTTATTAATTCTGGTGGTTTGGCAATCCTCCCAACAAAATATGTATTTATTATGTTTGTAATTTGAATATTAAAATTTTTATATAGTACTGAACAATTTAACACCATATTGATGGTACAGATTTATTGCTAATATAAAATTAAATATTTAAATTTGGAGAATTTTATTTTGTTTAGTAATTATTTAAGAGAAATAATATATATTTGACCATAGAGAATATCTGGCAAGCCATAAATTACTTATAAATTCAGAATGTAGCAAGATAGTAGGGATATGACATAGATTTATAATTTAATAAATGTAATCTTAATTTTTACATATTAGTAATTAGACAACTTATTGAATAGCTTATAAAATAAAATTGACAAAATAATGATTTAATACAAATAAAGGAGGCTATTTATATACAAATTTTACTTTTGCTAAACCCGCCTTGTGAGCCCCACAAGTTTCCATGTAATTGACATATTTACTAAAATCCTTAAATTCTTCCATAGTTGGCTTGAATACTAATATCTGAGGAATTCCTGCTTCACTGCTGATACCTCCAATCTCTCCCATATTTATTAATATAAATGTTAATTCGCTATATATGGTATATATTCCTGAATGCAATACTTTTGTTTAAATAAGCAATTGGTATTATGTGAGTAAATTAAAAGCCTATAAACATTTGTTTTATAAGCGTGCATCGATCATATGTGATTTAAAATAAATCGAAAAACAAAGATATTTAAATTATCAAACGTTTGTGGCCATTTAAAATATTAATAATATATTGTAATTAATCCAAACCTAAATTATAATTATTAATTAATAATACTAAAACAAATAAAAATATTAAGAATGTAGAAAATATTACAAATAATATTATATAATCTAGTATTGGAATGCAGCGTCTACATGACAGAATTTTTACTGTATGCAAACCCCCTTCGAAAACCTTTACCTACCCTACTAAAAAATCCAGCCACCTTCGGCGGCGATATTTCCCCATTATTATTTTCACCTTTTTAATTATAATGATACTCTTTTCAGAGAATTTATAAATCTATCTCTACTACCAACTATCGTATTTTGTGAATATAAAGGATTTATTTTTTAGATTATAAATTCAATTAAATCCTCCATTATTTACAATGAATTCATTATTTATTATAACTTTATGAGCTTGCTGAAATATCTAAACTAAATGTAATTTAAAAGGATAGCAAAAAGTTTTATTTGGAAAACAATGTGTATAATTGTTTGCAATATATAGATTTGGTCGATGAATTGTATTATAATAGTTCTATAATAAAATTATTAATTTTTACATCAATAAATTTTGTCCTATTTTATCTCAAAATTTAATAGATAACCCCCCAAAAAATTTATCCTAAGCGGCCGACCCCTTTAAAAAATAGGATGCAAATTGTTCCTACCCCTCCCGCTCATGCAGACGCTGTTGGAATGGAATATTGATTCCATGGGAATTCGGAATATTTTAATTTTAAATCATTTACTAATGCCGAATATAAGGACCGGATTTTATGGTAAATATATTCCACTACTTTTAAAATATCTAACTTATGAGTTTCAGTCATCTTACTAGTAACTTTAGTATATTTTTTATTTTATATGAAAGAATATAATTTAGATAGCTGCAAAAACGACTATCCGTTTGAGAACCGTTTATTTTTTTTTCTTAATTTGCTCGTTCCTGCCGGGTAAATTTTTTGTCAACCTGACCCTATGTAATTATTTTAAAAACATGCCAGGCGCAGCTGGTCCCGTTAAATTTTAAGCAAAGTCAGGGCTCGATTCTGCCCTGCTCCTTAAAATTTTAAAAAAAATTTAATACTATACCCCGTAATAAATTTACTCATATTTAGTAATACTGATATTTATAACTAACATACATATAGATTTATAATAATTTTAGTGATATTGACATTTATGCCTGAAGTGCATAGATTAAACATAATATTTTAGTGACTGATATCTATTTCTAACTTGCTTAGATTAAATAATATATTTTTAGCGATACTGACATTTATGATTTATAAAAAATATTTTTTGATTATATTGACATTTATTATATAAATTTTTATTTTTCGGTTATTTGATATTTAAATTTAAACCAAGGATATAATTATGAATATTGCATGATGTATCAAACAGATTTTTATGTCAAAAAACTAATTCTTTATTCTCTTTAAAAGAATTTTTTATATTTGCATTAAATTAAAAAATGTCTAAAATATCAAAGTTTGCAAAAATTTGACCACTTACTTTATTTTGTTTTACTTTACCTATCAAGTGTTGAAAATAACATATAATAAAATATTAGTTTATAATTTTGGAACCATTATAAGCACCGTATATTGTAATATAGGCAGATCTTTTATAATTTTTCTCAACTCACATTTATATTTATTAAAATACATTTTATAAAAATGTTTATCAGATATATACTTTATATTTTCATAGTATTTAATATGTATATATAAATGTGTTTAAAGATTACAAAATATATAATATAACTTAATACAATACATATAATATCTAGATATGATAAATTAAAATTTATCACGCATTCAAAATTATCCTGATAAATTTTATTGCAATTCGCATTCTCTCCAAATGCACGCTAACAATTTCTTTCATAAACCCCTAGATTTCTTATATCATGTTTACATTGCTTTCCAGGTGTCTTTTATTATACATCTATAAATATTTTAAATTTTGTAAATGAGACACTTTCCATTGCTAGTTATCCTTTTCATTAATCAAGTAGAAATTAAGGGCGAATTCCGTTTGGAACTTGTGTCCGGGTTTATTAAGATACTTTTGCCTTTCCATATGATCAAAATAACGAATTATGAAAATGTTATACTGATTTTGCTGTTTTATTCTTGAAAAGCATGGCTACAATATATTTACTGAAATAATCAACTGATATAGCAATATATTTAAAGCTAACTTCGCTTTTTAGTAGAGTACATAATGGTTTGGGTTTATATCCCATATTAATATTATGCATATTTATTTGGATATGGGGGTCCATTTTTTTTAATAAAAGAGTTATTTTTTAGGTAATGAATTATACAATTGGCTTTCTGCCATTTTATTCCTCCATTGTGGATAAATGCATATCGTACATAATTATTATACTCATACTCATCATACATTATAAAACATAATAAAATATCCATATATATAATCATTAGTAACTGATAATATAACACATAATATGTTACAATATATTAATCCGAAGCAGAAAGTATTATTTGGAAAATAATGTCTATCATAATTTGTAATGTATATATTTGGTCTATGATCAGCAATATCATTGTATTATATTAAGTCTATCATAAAAGTATTAATTTTTTACAGCAATATATTTTGTCCTATTTCATCTCAAAATTTAATAGATAACCCCCCCCCCCCTCCAATTTTTTTTTTATTTATCTTAACCCAAGCCTACCCCTTACCCTCCTCAAGAAAAATGGATGCATACTGTTCCTACCCCCCCCCCCCGTTCATGCAAACGCTGCAATTTTTAAATATTTTTTTTTATTCTACAAATTGACATGTAACCCTTGCTAATATTTGTTTATAAAATATCACTTATTTTTGAATATTAGATTCATCCAAACAATTTACAATGTGTAAAGAAAGATTAATAAAAAGACACATTATATTCTGTGGAGGAAAAAAAAATTTTTTATCCCTAAGGTATGGAAAATATTGTGAACTTAATTTAGATGGCGGGTTTTACGTAATAAAATTAAATTTGTTTGGTATTTTTGATATTTGAGGTGATTTATGCATTTTGTATTTAAATATTTTATGAATGAATTATCATCTAACCCATAGTAGCTACTAGCTAGCCCTAATCAAAAATCCTCTTATGCTACTTTAGAATTTTTCTTAAAATAATTTTTAGGTATCTTTACTAGTGTCGTAAACTGCTCGTTTTGAACCAATTTTTAAAAACGACTAACTCAATACTTCATCCAGAAAAATATTACGCAAGCCTGAAGATTTTGCTTATAGAAGGAACAAAGGTCTATACATATATTATAGAAATCTCAAGTCTTAGGCGATATTTTTCTGGCTAAAATATTGAGTTAGCCGTTTTTAAAAATATGCTCAAAACGAGCCGTTTAACAACACTAATATTTACAAATAAAATTATTTATTAAAAATATTACTATAATTTTAAATAATATACATATTTTGTATATATATAAGAAATATTTTTTTTTAAAAAAAAATACGTTTAGAAGATTTTCAGTAATATTATTTATTTCATAAAAATCATCGATAGTTAGTGTCGTTTTTGATCTGGTTCTAGGGTATCCTGATTTGGTAGAGCATTATCTAAAGATTAAGTTTCACATGGGATTCAGTCCAATTAATATATGGTCAAGAAAATTAACTTTCATATAAACTCATGCATGCTTAAAAACTATTAGATATAGTTTTAATTCAAAAAATTTTATTTTAAAGATTATGGTTTAGGGTGCACATTGAAATTAAATTTGTTTGATATATTATCTTTGAATGTTTTCGCAAGTGGGAGCTTCTTTTTTGATCGTAATACAATACCTTCTGGCACATCTTACATCGAAAAATAAATTCCTGTGTTAATTTTTTGTTTTTTATCTATAAATAAAAATTTTTTTATTCAAATTTAAGAAAAGAATATTCTATATTATCAATCATTTTTCCAGGGAAATTATATATGTCGATATGATCTGTTATATCTGTTGATAGGTAATTGACAGATATAGACGTTTATAAAATGATTTCGAATAAGTGATATATAACAATTATCATTCTTTGTTCTTGATCATATGATTATATAATTGACTGATATATATTTGGGAAATAAAAGATTTTGTTGGTTTGATGTGTTATTTTAAATAAGTTACTTATATATAAAATATTAAACAATTGTACATTACATTTATTTTTAGGATATTTAATGAATGGTTCGATTATACATTTTTATAATAATGATCTCTACCAAAATTATTTTTAATAACAATATCTATCTATTATCGACATTTTAAATTTTTTTTAATTATTTTGAAAACTAGATTTATAATGCATATTTTTTAAATAAAAGTTTAAATTTTGCAAAATATAAATTAAAGAGATTACGATTTTATGTTATTAATTATAAATATATTTTTAATAATTCCTCAGTGTATTTATTATAGAAAATCTACTTTCTAAATTAGTAGAGAGTTTATGTAGATAGCCAAAGCTACCGCTGACTGAAAAAAAGATTGGCACGCTACTTTAACAACACTAGTTCACATTACGCTTAAAGCGGTTCATAGTTTTTATTTTAAAACTGATGCAAACCAGACATATATTTCTTCTAATTTTCCATTCTGAAATAATGTCAATTCTGGAAATTTTTATATTTTGGTAAAGTCTAAAATTGGGAAATCGTTAATAAATACAAAAATAATTTTTATAAATATTATAAATTTTCTTAATTCAAATATAATACTAAAAATATAAGAGTATTTTTGTACTTAGAATATTTTGAATGCAAGTATTTGCGTTACTGCCCCCCCCCCTGGTTATATATTATATTTTTACAACAAACTAGATATATTCGGCAAAATCAGAATTTTTAAATTTAAATTTAAATAAAATTCGCTTAACAAATAATTCAGCAGTGTAGGAAAATAATAAAATAATTATT